TTTACTGTGCCTAAGAATGGGTTCCTAAATTATTTAGCATATAAAATTAAAAATCACAATCAGTTTACTTCTGTCAATTAATCAATATTTCAAAATTAATTAATCAAATATTACTAATTATTTAAACAAATTTATATTATTAAAACATTACACACTGATCAATATAAACAAAACTTTTTTTGATAACAATTATCAAAACAAAATTATATTATTAACAAAAGTACTAATTAAAAAAAAATAATAATATATTATTACTACAAAACATCAATACAACAATAATTCAAAAAATAACTATCAAGAAGATATGTTATCAATACTATTATATATTTTGGACTGTCACATGACCATTTTAGAAAGTACTATCAGATTTCAAAGAAGTGAAACTATCAGAGTGACATTATGCATCATTTGTATTATAATTAGTTTTTTTGTTATTTTTTTTTTGTCTAGTATTTTATTTTTTTATTTTTTATTTTCTTAAGTCTTATCTTATATAAATCTGAATAGGTATTTATAGCTGTTCAGCATTGTTTATAATATGTATTGGTTTTAATATTTATTTTCCTTTATATTTAAATAGTTTACTATAAGCAAGCTAGCATTAACTTACTAATCAATTGGTCATATGAGAGATGTTGTTACTTTCTTTATGTAATAAATTTTCAAATTTTACAATTATAATAAAGTAATAATGTTTACCTACTTATAAAAAAAATAATAATAAATATATAAAATTTATATTATAATAAAAATTTATATTAACAATAATATAATAATGTATTTTAAAATTCTGGCCTAGTGATCTGCATAATTTTAGTCAATTTTAATATCATCTGATTTCATCCCCAACAAATTATAAGTCCGATTATTTTTGTTACACACAGTCTGTCGCGTACTAAATCAATCCTTATTAGCCTTTGTCTCGAAATCGCACCATGTCGAATGAATTTCAAAAATACTTTACTCGAAGTTCGATAGATTGGAACATTATTGATTTTTTGGAGGAATGTAGCGAAGAACAATTTCAAAAAAAGATAGATAAGTATCTTAGAAGCCTCGATACAATCGTGGCTCGCGAACAAGGAAGGCGAAAAGAAAAAGCGAGGTTTCTTCTTAAAAGATATAGGGAGGCAAGTAGAGATATTATTTTTTAGGGGGATAAGAGTCATAAAACTAGTGTTGAGGCATAGATGACCCGCTCGGTTGTCTAATGTTAAAAGGACCGCTCGCCTGATTCAGCACTGGTCCCACTGGGGCACAAATGACCCGCTCGGTTGTTTATGTTTAAAGCCTTGGGTGGGCACAAATGACCCGCTCGGTTGTCTGATGTTAAAGCCCTACCCTGACTAGTTGGGGTAAAAACAAATAGAACTCAAAGACATGTTAAGAATATTACTAATTTGCAATTCTTTGTTAGGAGCCTAGATCTGACTATGACTTAGCAAGAAGTTGGGAAAAGAATAAATCAGATAAAACAATCAATAGTCATTCAATAGTTATTCAAAATTCAATATTAACAGAAGGCTGTTGCGGAAATAACTTTAATTGGTCCAACAGTGCTTCAAAACAAATCCAGAAAAGGGACCAAGAAGAGGTACTGATGAGAATTTTTCAACTATAGAATCAGCCAAACTAACTATTTGTATTTTAATACTTTTAGGATGACGATTTTAAAGAGGGTGCTTCCAAAAAAGCTCGTCAAGACAAAAATGATGTAAATAATATACTAACTACACCACCACTACGAACTCAAAAATTATTGTAGAGGCATTTTTCCATTATTATTATATCTTCATCTCACCATGCGTAGTAAATTCATTTTTCCTTTTTATCATTAGGTCTTTAATGATGATGGCGAAGAGGATAAAGATATAATTATTTCCGAGGACGAATATGATCTTCTTACACAAACCCCTCATGATACTACCGTTGATTGCAAACTGATTATCAGCAATATATGTATCCGATCAAAAATAGAAGAATGGCGAAAAAAGTCAAAATACGTTGAAGAATTACACAAGCAAGAGTACTTGCATTTATTTTTATCATCCTTACCTATACAACTATACACTTTAGATACTATTTTTACTGATAACTTTACCTTACAGCTTAATGCGTTATAATATTCTAGACACAACAAAATCATCTGCGACGGAAGCACGAAAGCTCCTCAAAGAGCATTGGGATAATATTATTGAAAGAATAGAAGAATTTTTATCGTTTAGATCCTATATTCCGAATTACGCTTTCACTTCATCTCAAGACACAGAACAAGATGGACGGGCAGAAGATGTTAAACAATATCTAAAAAATTTAACGAAAAATGCAGTAAGTGTATTTTATTTACGATTAAATTTAAATTTTGATTTGTTGGCAACTTCTTACATTTACATTTATTTCATTAGAGCACTGTGAATAAATTATGCAACACAATCAAGACAGAGCGTGAAAAATTACGGGCAAATGGCAATACACGATGGAAAAAACAAGTTTTGCAATTGATGAAAATATTGTAAATATTCAAGTATTCTGTGTACTTCTTATGTTGTAATCTAATTTTACATCTCCACTTTATTATAGTCAAAAACAATTTCTAAATGGCAGAAACCGTTTAAAAGAAGATCAGACTGAGGGCGATTATATAATCAAGTTTATTTCTCACATTTATACCATTCTGTTCGAAGATAAATCGTTTTTGGAATGTAGTTGGTAAATTGAAGTGTGTTAAGTAATGCTTGTTATCCCTATTAGTTATCGTTGCTGATTTTTCGTTTAATAGGGGTGAATCGACCTTGCGATATTCCACTTTTCTATTCAATCGATCGTTAAGAGATGATGATCGACGATGCTCGGGCAATAAAATTGATGCGATTCTTTCAATGGTGGACATGGATTTTTTGGAGTTCTCGACCTTGGAAGTTTCAGGGCCTCCATCATGCCTCGATCATTCTCACTATGTTGGGGATAAGAATAAGACCGCAAAGATGCTCAAGATTATCTTGAACTACATTAAAATTAAATACCCGGGTGATTTTGAAGTGTTTAGGAGAATAAAAGTATATGGTATTCAAATATATGGTAAGTTCTATAAACCGGATAAATGCTTTATTATGAGTATATACTAATGCCTTCCTATAATAAATCCATATAGATCATAATTTTTACATTTATAGCATGTGTATGCCCTTTGCTGGTATATATTACTTTAAACTGGAAAAAAAGTTTTCTTATCCAACAATTACACAATTGATATCCACGAAGTTACCAAGGTTTGCTTCGAACTTGTGGATAATGCGGGTAAGTATTTACACGAAAATGTTGGTGTACACTTATGATAATACTGATGTTCTTGAAATTAGGATATGATCATTTCGAGTGCTAAAAGTATACTGATATATATTGATAATTCTACTTCCGAATCGAGTGAAGAGGATTCTAAGATTGACGAGGTAAAAATCTCGCCCAAGAAAAAGAAATAGAATTAATAGGTGACTGATCAGAAAATTATTGTATTTAGTATATATAATCAGATTTGAGTTGGTGCATCGGTAAAATAAAATTGACGAGTTACAAATTGTAACGCCGATCACTTTTGCAAGAAAATTCTCGATCAAATTATGAGTTAGTATACATACAACCACGAAATATACATGTAAAAACGATCACGATTAAATATACGAAAATAGCCACCAGGGTCAGCTTTATTGATATAGTAAAAAATAAAAATAAATTATAATCTCGGGATCGGAGGAAACGGTCGAACTTTTTTTGAAATATAAAACTCAGACTACTAAAATATTCTATGAAATATAAAAGTTGGCTACTAGGAAAAATTCTAAGTTGCGCTCTCGTTACAGTATACCCGCGAATTCTGTTAAGATGAAAATATGTGTACATCACCCGAATCCCTTATAAGTACATTAAGATGTAATTCACGCCCTATAAAAAATTTGTTTTTCATTAAAAAATGGATTCGATTCCTTATATGAAGAAGATAAAAGGAGAAAAAACATACCAGCAACTTGAATTTCAATTATCCCAATTTTACCCTTCTCCGAATAATAAATAGTTATTGGGTGCGAGGCATCCAATAATTATACCACATACAAAAAAGTATCTGGCTGAATATGAAATCAATATATCAACTATAATTCGATTGGGCATGGTAGAATTGGTAAAATTAAGTTGGGTGACTGAATTGTAGAATTGGTAAAATTTCATTGTGTAACAACTGGATTAATAAGTCTATTTTAAAATTTAATCATATTTAATTTGTTTTATATTTAGTTTACAAATTTTTAATAAAAAATATTTTATTTTAAAAAATTTCATATATAGCAAAATTTAAAAAATCTACAATTCTATCATTACATGTATAATATTAACTACAATAAACTTTACAAATTTTTAATTATATAAAGTTTTACTTAATAATTAACTAAGCTTTATATAAATTCTGTATATTGTATATTTTAAATTTTTTTTAATAAAAATATTTCAATAAATAAAAAAATATATTACAAATTGATTTATAGATCTATAGCATAATGGTAATGTTTTATAGTTCATCAAAGAAAGGTTTAGAATTCAAACTTATCTGGTTATAAAAAATTACTATCTTTATGATTGGTTTATAGATTTTCAATTTATGTTATATATGATAAAGGATAAACTATTAGTCACAAGTGATAAGAATCTAAACAAAAATCATTAAACCAAGTAAGTTTAATAAAAGCCAAACAAAATTAAATCAAAATTTAAACAAGGATACCAGTTTTACAAATAGTAAAAACAGTAGTATTATGTTATACTAATGATATATCTCAAGGATCAGTAATAACAGATAACTAAAATAATTGGAATTAATCTATATATGTTATTGAAATTCATAAATTCTTAATGCAATTAATACAATTATTTGATACAATTAATTAAGTCACTATTAAAATATATAAATAATTATATATTTCAGAAATTAAGTCAATAGCAAATAATTTATATTATATGTATAGATTAATCTTTATAATAATATTCTATACAAACTTTTTTATATAGTAAGTATAGCTACAATATAGATTTGTAGAAAAATAATTTAAAACTAGTGATAAAATTTTCACCTCTTCATCTTCATAATATAAATATGCATAGTTAGATTACTAATAATGAAAAATTAACTGATATTAGAAATAATTACTAGGTAATATTAATTCTATATATATAAAAGATATTTTATAATAACAATTGTTAATATATATTCCATATATAGAAGATATTTAATGTTTATATAGAT